AATGTACAGTACACGAAGTTCAACTTATAATACGCCACTTACATTCTATTGTAAGTACACGTGCTGACGGTATATCAGCAAAATCAATCAAATGCATAAATAATTTGATAAATGAAAATCTAACAAAATGTATTAACAAATCATTGCATAATTTAAAGATAGCAAGAGTAACACCAATTCGTAAGGGTCAATTACACTGACTTGAAAAAGGCATTTGATACAGTCTCACACTCTTTGCTTTTACAAAAACTGAAAAAAATAGGAATAACTGGCGGAGCACATGATATACCTAAATCCGATATCACTAATCGTAGACAAATACTAAGTTTCGAACATTACAAAACCAATCCAGCATTGATTCACAAGTAATCAACCATTAAACAAATATACAAATATAACACATACATAATAATAAGAAAATTTATCACTAAAACTATTCACTCCCAAATAACTTTTCAAACAAAAACGCACTCACACAACATCAGAAACATGCAAAAACTTAAACTGCCTAAGACTCGAACTAAATATGGAATAAAAACTATTATATTTGAATAACGTCATCTGATATGTGGGATCGTATGAGATGGCTTAGAGGATACAAGATGCAAAAAGGTAATGTTGATGAAGTTAGAGCTAGCTGTTTACTAAGGAATTTATGTCCGGATTTTGTTTGTCGAGAAATTCCAAATTTTAAATCATCCAATAATCAATTAAGAGTCCTGCATAACATTAAATGAATTAATTACATGTATAAAATCTAAAGATTCAGCTCCGGGCCATGACAATATATCATATTCCATGATAAAATTTCTACCATTCAATGCTAAAATAGTACTTTTAGACATATATAATAGATTATTTAAAAATAGTTTTGTTTCTAGGCAATGGCATAACATATCAGTTATTACCATTCCTAAGCCTGGTGGTAATTCATCAAATATTACATTGCTTCAGCCAATATCTTTAATATCTTGCTTATGTAAAAATTTTCACACTATCCTGAGCAAAAGATTGGAATGATATGTCGAAAAAACTTTGAATTGTCTTAGTGTTTTGGTTACCAATATACAATAGAATTTTTCAAAATATCTTGTAACTATGGTATTTTTTGTGGATCTAGACAATGCATTCAACAACCTTAACATTATTTTTTTGGTAAATATGCTGGATAGTTTTGGAACTGGCACTTTATTTTGTAAATATATATGGAAATTTTTATCTGAAAGATACCTGCAAATTAATATATGTCGGAGACGAGTCATAATCACAACTAATTGGAACGCGAGCGCCATCTCTTTGGGCTCGACAGAGTCTACGTCTTTACACTCGACCGGGCTCGGCTGAGTTACGCTTGGTCGGTCGCACAGTGAACACTAGTAGAAACTGTCTTGCGTTCCGTATTGTCTATACGTGATAATAGTGAAGTGCTGTGTAACTATGTACAAAGTGATCATTGTTAATTTGAAATACAACTGTGATTGCAACGACTTTTATTAGAACCAACACTTTCCGTATAACGCCCACTGCCAATGTCATGATAAAATATGGAAAATAATAGGGAAAATTAATGCTGCTTCGATATTGTTATAAACCAAACTATTGTATGCGCACGCAAAAACCTAAGAGTCTGTGTCACATCATTTTGACTTGACAGTGACAACTGTCACTTGACTTATCTATGCGCCGGCGACCCCTGCTGTCGCCCTTGCCGTTGGAACCTTTGAAATATACGCCGCGTGTTTGATTCATCTCGGTAATTTTGCCCTTTTTTGTGATGGTTTTTTGTGCGGCATATCTTAGATTGGACTGTTAAATAAGACGTGCAAATAACATATTGATAATTGTACATTTTGATGAGCACGGGGCCCGTTTTGAGTGCATAATTGCATCGCCCACGTGCCGACGTAAAACTTGTTAAATAAGAATCAATTGACTTTATTTTGTACTTATATGAAAGTGAACTGACAATTCAGTGTAAACTTGTGCGTATTTGAGTGCCTACGCCGTATGTCGGCCTTCTAGGCGCATCCTGGAGCATCTTCATCCTGCCACCTTCAGTTGAGTATAATCAGTTAGCATTAGACGTTATGATTGGCCAATTGTAGTTTAATGGTAATTAGATTTATACCTAAGGCAGCATCATTGAAGGAGAAGAACGCAAGGTACCTTTTTTTTTGATATATATAAGCGCTGTGTATCGCAGTCATATGTTCGTCCCCCTTGAACCTGGAGACATTTCACGCTTCCACTCATCACTCTGGTAAAACCCCAGGTCGGATGTAACAACTTTTGGTAGCAGAGCGTAGTTTGGTTATAGATATTAAATGTATTGTATACGCTCGCTACTTTGTGTAAAATTAATTACAAGTTATTGTTACTGAACTACTTAAGATTTCCATTTTATATGAAACAATTCATACTCTTTAAATGTGTATGTGAATATTGTAAAAGCTCAAACATAAAGTCTGTTTAGATACAAGCGACTCATGTTTGGCATTTCCTGTGCACCTGAATTTTTTCAGAAAAACTTAGAAAGATTGCTTTTATCTTGTAGTGGGGTGGTTAATTTTATAGATAACATTGTTGTCTATGGCAGCAATGTGGCAGACCATGGGGCGAGGCTCGAAAAAGTTTTACAGGTTTTAAAAGATAACCATGTATTGTTAAATGATGCAAAGTGTGTTTTTGGGGTCAGACAAATGAATTTCTAGGGCACAAATTGTCTTGTGATGGGGTTAAACCTTTAGATAAGTATATTAAAACAATACAGTCGTTTCGAGAGCCAAGCGTCATTGAAGAGGTACAACGTTTTTTAGGCCTAGTAAATTATGTTGGAAAGTGGATCCCTAATTTAGCAACATGGACTGAACCTTTACGCGATTTGAGATTACTCCCTTAATCAAATATTGGGAAATTATTTCCCACTTGACACTAACGACGTAAAATTTCTGTTTTATTTCTTTATTGGTAACTCTAATCAGTACCAACCTCAAGAACAAAATAATCCTACAGATTTTTTAAATTTTATTTATTTGCAACATTTTGTCTGAAACCGCGAACTGTCATCGTATGTCAATGTCAAAAACACAGTTTGAAATATTTTGCGAAAAAACTGGTTCAGGCGGAAGATAGTGCATAAACACAATATTCGTGTAAACTAGAGTTGTTTTCTGAATGCTTCTTACGGTTTTTGGCCTCGCAGCATTGATATTTGTTGTATTTACTTAGGTTTAATTAAGTGGGAAATAATTTCCCAGTGTTTGTTCCTGCATTAAAAAAGCACCAATTTCTATACATAAAATAAAAATTTGTCTGTATTGTAATTTTATCTAACATAAAGTTGTCAGTGAGTAAGTCAGCTAAGGAGCTTTCTCGAGAGTTGTGACTGCGTTTGTGTGATTTTTCACTTGGATTTTTATGACTTACTGAATCACTTACAATTTTAAGGAACTATTTGTGCTACTCAGACTACCTAGTTACTGACTATCTTTTATTTGTTTTTAGCTATTTAAATATGGACGCTAAAAATATACGTAAAGTTCTACCAAAGAAAAAATTATAGGAGGTGGTACAAAATTTAGACAACTTGTCGTATTTATCAGGCTCAGATTCTGAAAACGACTCATGCTATGTCAACAGCATTCATTCTCCATCCGATAGTTACCTCAATCAGCATGACGGTAACCTAATTGAACAACGTCTTGAATATATCTTCGGCTTCGAATTGAATGAAGACAAACAAGAAACGTCTACTATACAAGCCCAACAGATTTCAACGGATGCCTACGAAGAACGTTTATCGCATTTCGGAATTGACACTTTAGCTAACCGGAGATGCATGCTGGATACTTTGTTCCTATACAAACTAGTGTACTGTAGTGTACTAATGGTACTCTGGACTGCCCACAACTACTTAACCATATCCAAATTTCAGCGCCTTCTAAGTGCCTACGTTTAGATAAACGAGCGTTCTTCGTAACAAATTAATAATAGAATTATGAGATCCTAAAGTTTAATTAGCAGGAATAAGGACATTGATATATTTAATGATAGCTTATCTAGTTTTAAAAAAAGATTGTTGCACTCATAGCGTCATATTATATTAAATAATCGCTTATGTAGATACAAGTGAATATGTATGTGTATGTATATGTGTGTGTGAGTATATCTATTTCATTTAGATCTTTCATACCCTGTTAATAATATATTTAGCTGTTATTATTTTTATAAACTTATTTTTATTTGTAAGATGTATCATAGTGAATCTTTATGTTTCTTTTTTGATGTTCTAAATATTATTTTGCCTTTACATTGTACTACTTTTTAAATGTCGTTATCACCTATAATTAAGGTACTACTCTGTATGTTTTATTTACCATGTATGTTATAATGTGATTAGTTTGTACTTTGTTGGTGGTCTAATAAAATAAATAAATAAATCTGTTTTGGTGTTTCATTTTACATGTACATACGAAGTGAACCTTTACAGTTTCTATGACCAACTTACACAAGCCATAAAAGCGGTACCTTCTAGCGATCACCTTCACATCATGGGTGATTTTTAACGCCAGAGTCGATCAAGATAACATCGCTTTGCCAGATTGCCTCGGTAACCATGGTGTTGGCAAAATAAACGAAAATGGTCAGCGTCTACTCAAGTTCTGTACCCCTAGTACGAGTTTACAAATTACAGAAACGATGATAGTTTTAGTGAGATCGATGAACTATATAGTTTTCGATGTAATCGATAGTACGAGTAAAAGATTTCGAATATAATTTACAAGACGGCGACCATCGACTAGCTCGATTGATCGACTTCACTTTATTCTCTTCATCTCTTTTTCACATCGGCAAAATAAAGGAGACGAATGTTGTCCTTCGATATTGTTTAAATTGACGTTTTGGATGAAGTAAGTTTTGAAACTTAGGTAAAGCCATAGAAAAGTGTTCACGTACTTAAGACTTCTTCTTTAATCTTTACTTTATTAAAACCGTTTAAGATGATAAGAATCAGCCCGTCGCAATTCGAAGTGATGGTAGATTTTATGGAGAGGTACGTAACAATCTTTTCTAATAATATAGTCTACCAAGATGTGTTAGAGTTTGTCTTAATTACATATAAATATTTTTTAGAAATGGTGACTTAAACAAACCGACTGACGGTCACAGCGGTAGGATAAGGGCCATAGAAAAGTGGCAAGAGCGCACTAATGCTCTGAACTTGGATACATCAGGGACTTCCAAGGCGGTCGAAAAATGGAAAAAGGTAACTTTCACCCAACTTACAACTACTTTACGATGCATGTTGCATGCGGCGTTCCTTCCCAAGCATTCTTTTGTTTGAAAGTTTTGTATCCTGCTTATTAATTACGATCCAAAAACATTGGGTTACATTTGTTAGAATGTGTGTATCCCCCATAATATTATAATCATTTTATACTCTGTGCTATATCTAGTTTTAACTATGATTGTTCTATTGTCTATGACTTGTTTCCTCTTCCTTGTCATGGAGCCGTACCATTAACACTGTAACTATTGATGTAAATTATCTAAAATTCAATATCAATAAATAAGTTAAATATCTAGTGAAAGTGTTCTTATTTTTATGCTCACTACTTGATAATAAATTACGCTCACAGCGAACACTTAAAAATCTCAATAACATTAACTAATAGTTTTTGTTTGATATGCACTAATTTAGTTTATTTTGCATGTAAAGGTGTGGAGTGACCTGAAAAATAATACGAAGCGGAAAATTCAATTCAAATTCCAAAATCCACCGAGCTGCAGATGGCACAGGTAGTGGACCAGCTTCAAAATTAATTCTAAGTGATCAGAAGCAGCGAGTCCTTAATATAATTGGACCCCAGGCTGCAACTGGTCTACTTACAGTCCAGGAAGTTGGTTTAGAAGTAATTATTTTATATGTATGATTACCTTAGTTTTAAATTTATATCTGCACATTTTTCCCATGGAAACAATGTTGGAAACTAATTAAATTTCACATGCTACAATTCTGACGCTGCTTGCTTAGACTATACTAATTTATCTTGTCATATATATTTGTTTTATATAATCCATACACAAAATATACACATGTACTTACTTACATACATAAGAATACCCTGGGTAGGATTCTTTGTGTAAATACCTAACAGTTATACCTAATAATAATACACTTACATTTGTATTGTCTTTGTACCTATTATGTGCTAAATAATCCCGAAATCTATTAGATATCTTATATACAATTTAATGGTAAAGCCTCACTTTAAGTATCTAATTGAAAGTGGAACTTCTGCTAGAACCAAAACCTAAACGCTTTACAAATAAAACAAAACAAAATCATAAAACGACTTTTCCACTATAACTATGTTACTACAACAGAGAAAGTGTATAAAGAAACAGGACTAATGACCATATCGAAAAGTATAAATATAGCATATGTATCTTGGTGCAAAAGATTTTAAATAAAACTTTACTATACTTTATTACTAATATTTTATTGTGCAATTATTGTTTAATATCTTTATCTAAATATTTTTTGATTCAAAAATCAACTAACTAATAAGCAATTACATAAATTGCTATCTAATCGCATTTATTTTATATAGTTCTACATTTTTGTGTACCGCATGTATGCTTATATTTACTATTAAGATGTATCTTGTTTTCTCAAATACGTAAGTGAATTGTATTCTTTTTTTGAGAAATAAATTCTTAAACCGTACATTATGTTTTAATTATATCTGTTTCATCTTTCATATTGGATCAGCTGAGCCACCTGTAGCATCAACAGTAGGCCTACTGTCAGAAGCAGTGTCACCCACACCAATCGAGGTTGTCCAAGTTGAGAGCAGTTAGTTTTTTTTACTATTTTTTTCAAATACAAAACTGTTATTTTAACATAGTAGAGCCCATGAAGGAAGTTAGCAACATAAATATATGATTATACATTTTAATAATTCATTCATCTGTTTAAGTAATTTGTTCCCAAGTACCTATGTTTTTTTCAGTTATTGAAGAGTGGAGTAGGCCTGCTGAAGGTGGCTAATCTACAAACTTCAAAGCTGAAATGTTAGAAGCCAGTGCCACTTTCCCCACACCACACCATGCACATAGTCCTCGGCGGCACCTGGGCCTCGGCGCGCGATCCGTGGGCGCCGCCGCTTGCTCCATCCACGGGCATCAACGCCCCCGCATAGTGCTAGCCGTGCTCCTCGGAGGCACTTTAATGCTACGGAGCAACTTTTGAACAGTGATGAGCATTGGAGGACTTTGGCAACAGAGTTTGTCACTGAGCACGTGAGGCTGCGAGACAAAGAGCTGCAACAGCGAGATATGGAGCTCCAGCAGCAATCTCAGTGGCAAACTCATTCATCATTATGATCCTGAGTCGAAACAAGACTCCATGCAATGGCATACAAAGTTCACGGCACCTCCCAAGAAGTTTCAGGTGTCACAGTCAGCTGTGAAACTCATGGCAACGATCTTTTGGGACTCGGAAGGAATATTATTGATCAAATATAAAGATAAAGGTGTTTCTATCAATAACCGGAGAACACTACGCTTCAATAATAGAGTAACTAAACATATGAGAATAGCAAAAGAGCTAAACACATAGATATCAAAAGTCAAGACACATTTCTCAAAATATTTATTATTTATTTCTAAGTAATACTGCACTGTATATTTCTCAAATATGTTAAACCTACCTTGTCTTGTAACTGGACACGTTTGGACAGTACAATTTAGTTATAAACGCATAAGTACTTTAGTTAAACGCATAAGTAGAGGACAAGCTAAGTTTAATTTTTTCTCGTTATTTTTGTTAAAATATGTCGAAGTGGACGGAGGACACTACCCAGAAGTTTGTAGAAGCATATTTAAAAAAGAATGCTTATGGAACGTAAAAAGCATGAATTATAGAAATAAATAAGCCAAGCAACGAGCGATTCTCGATATAGTGTCAGCTATGGCGATCACTAATTTTGGCGCAAAGGAAGTAGAATTTAAAAATTCGAAGTGTTCGTTCGACATATACCCAAGAATAAAAAAAAATTAAAGATTCAATGAAATCGGGCTCTGGCACTAATGACATTTACAAATCAAATTTAAAATGGTTTGCTATAATGCATGAAATATTAAATTCGGTGAATATTAGCGATGAAAGAAAAACTACTAATAATTTGGTTTTTTTTAATAAGTAGGTACAGGTTCACAGATACTTTCTTAGGTTTATATGAATATTCGACATTATAAATTAAACTATGTTTTCGGATTTTGTAGCGGATTTATTTTGATTTTTGGTTCCTGACGTTTCGAATACTTTATAGCAATCTTGGTCACGGGAGAGACTAAGGTATTTGACTACTCAGAGGTTTATATACTTGTTACAGGCAGTGCCTACCCACAATTTACAATTTTTTTTCTATATGGCACTAAAGTACCTTACCCATCATAGAAATTAATTACAATAGAGTCAGATGTTGTTATCTCATACTGTGTAGATCTTGATAACAGCAGTCAGGATTAATTTTTAAAATATATAAATTAATTCATCCCTACCCCCTTTAGGATAATTTTTTTACAAACTTTGATTGTCTTATTTTTTTATATCTAATCAAAACCCTAAAAAATAAGTTTCAAGCTTCTAGCTTTAAATATAACTTAATTTTTATACAAAATTTCGGTCCCTATTACAGCACCTTACAACCCTTTTTTCGCCTTGAAAAGTAGCCTATATCGTTTCCCAGGCTCTAGACTATCTGTGTACCAAATTTCATTTAAATCGGGTCAGTAGTTTTCACGTGAAAGCGCGACAGACAGACAGAATTACTTTCGCATTTATAATATTAGTATGATATTATTGAAGTTAAAAATGGCAGGCTTGTGGAAGACAGCAGGTCACCCTATCATGAATATGGACGCAAGCACAGACACATGGAAGCGCCAAAGGAACTGTTATGAAACTAGGTCTCCAACCTGCTGCAGCAAAGATTAATAACATGTTTAAAAAGGAATTTTGTAGGCAGTACTATAAGATACACAAGAAGTGGCACAATCTAGTAATGTCTCTCAATGTTAACCCCCAGATTAAAGCATGCTACCACGCTATAATATTAGAAAGGATTATTATATTTCAATATTGTTAAGAAATATTTTTGTTGTTGTAAGTTTTGAGTTTCTTGCCGGTTCTTCTGAGCATGAACTAGGCTCTAAACCTGTCTCAGGGCAGTTGCTGGACTGCTACTGGGCGCGTCCCCCGGGTGACGGATAGGGGAATGCCACCACATTGGTGGTACCGGTCTTGACCGGCGCGGACCAAAACCAGCAGGCATGGGCGTGCCTTTAGGGGTTTGTTAACCCCACGGCCTAAGGGAGCACACCCTGACAGAAAAGCGCGGAGGTGGGGCGAGCCCGGCGGGCGCTTAACTGCGCAGCCCGGCTAGCACTTCGTGCAACGCCCCTCTCAAATCGTAATCCCGGGACCCGGTGTCGTTGCCATGTCTAGCGGCCGGTTACTGGGACCGATAGCCTCGGCTGAACCGCCCGGGCTGCGAGGAAGAAAACCTCTATAAAAAATCACCCCAATCCCAAGCGGAGAAGCAGCGTGAGGGGATGCGTGGCCGATGGAAAGATCGGCCGTTACTGCTTCCCCCGCTAGAGTACCGGCCGACACTCCAGACAGGTTATTGTAGGCTTATCCGCATACAGGGGGCACTGTGCGGACGGACCCACCCTTCCCCCATACTCGTGGGATTCAAAATGGAACACTTTAATTCAAATTTAAAAAATCAAGACGTTGTGCCTGCGATGGGCGGCGAAGACGTTGTGCCTGCGACGGGCGGAGATGATGTTGTGCCAGTGACTGGTGGTGCTGGCGTTCGGCCTAGGAGGAGTGTTGTGTCGCATGTTGCGACTGCTAAAAGTGCAGAGGAGGTTGCGGCAAGAAAGCCGCAAGTTGTGCTCACCCGTATTGATCTCGGGGAAAGCGCAATGTCAAGAAGGAACTTGCTATCCTCGGGTGGACGACTTTGGGCGTCCGGGAGGGATTCCGATGGAGACAGCACTGTTTCGTTGAGTTCGGTGGGGAGTTTGGGCAGGTCTCAATTCCTAAAAGACCATCGTAAAAGGCCTCGGAGCCGTCAGGGAAGTCGCTCGGGGTCTTCAGATGAAGAAAAGAGGCCTAAGACTAAGTCTGTGGCCAACAAAGGAAGAGGACGGCCATCTACCACCGGCGAGTACGTCGGGTTGGCCGAGGCAAAGAGAGCCCTCAATAAGGCTAAGAAGGAGGAACGGAGGTTGCGTGCCGAAGAAGAGGTGGCCGAGATGGCCCTAGCAGTGCGCACCTGGGCTAGCTCACGCAAGTCCGATATGTCTTCGGTGCCGTTTGTGGAGTGCGAGGAGACCGAGGCGCTCTTAGCTTTGGACTTGCAGAAGAAAGTGAAGGACAGCCTCGTGGTCATTGAAACTGTTGCCAAAAAGTCCGGGAACTTGAAAGGGGTCTACATTAAGGCCCTTAAGCTGGCAGCCAGCTCGATAGCTACGGCGGTGGATGACCTTGCCAGAAGAACGGCCACGGATGAGGTAGCGCAGTTAAGGGCCAGTAACGCCCGACTGCAGACCGAGCTGGAGGGGATGCGAAAGGAGTTTGCGGCTCTAAAAGCGCAGGTGGAAGCCTCCCGGGCCAACGTGAGCCCAGCACCATCCCTGGCGCAGCCCGCAGCTATTCCCACCGCCACAACACCCGGCGGGTGTGGAAGAGTTTGCGCGGACAATAATGGTCCAGGTAGGGACCATGATAAATGCGCGGTTTGAGGCGTTAGAGGATAGGCTTTTGCCGGAGCAGCGGATCCGTCCCCCGCTAGCGTCCGACAGAACGACGGCAAAGTCTGCCCCGAAGGCTACAACGGGTGACGCCAGGGTGACTACCCTCATGACCCCTGCCAATCCGGCCAAGGAAGGGACGAAGAACCCCAAAAAGGGCAAAGCAAAGAGGAAGGAGAGCCAGCCTCAGAAAGGATCGGCTGTGGAAACCGCACCGGCGGACGTGGCTCCATCTACGTCACCTCCCCCTACCCGCTTAACGGAGGGATGGAGTGTGGTGGCGAGGAAGCCTAAGAAGGTGGCTAATGCAACGGTGCCGCCAAAAGCAAAGGGGCAAAGTGCTGGCAGGGCAAAGCCCAAGGTGGCTGGAGCACGAGAGAGGTGTCGTGCGGTGTTCCACAGGGCTCGGTACTTGGGCCCCTCCTGTGGAACATCGGGTACGACTTTGTGCTGCGGGGCGCATGGCTTAGACGCGTGAGTGTGGTCTGCTACGCCGACGACACTCTTGTGTTGGCACGGCAGGCCACATACCGGGAGGCAGCAATTCTTGTGACGGCAGGAGTCGCTCAAGTAGTCGCACGAATCAGGCGGCTGGGGCTGGAGGTTGCATTGGAGAAGTCGGAGGCCATCCTTTTTCATGGTCCTCGGAGGGCGCTCCCGCGGGACGCGCATATCATAGTCGGTGGCACGCGCATCGAGCTGAAGAGTGCGATGACGTATTTGGGTCTTGTGCTTGACAGCCGATGGAGCTTCGGTGCTCATTTCGCCGCACTCGTTCCGCGGGTGATGAAGGTGGCGGCCGCCCTTGGGAGGCTATTGCCGAACGTGGGTGGGCCTAGTGCATCCTGTCGTCGGCTCTATTGTGTCGTCCGATCGGTGGCCATGTACGGTGCCCCAGTGTGGGTGGATGCCCTGGATCGCGAAAACATCACCCTGCTGCGGCGGGCGCAGAGGGTGATGGCGAACAGGGTGATCAGGGGGTACCGAACCATTTCTGGCGAGGCGGCGTGTGTGCTGGCTGGAGTTCTGCCCTGGGACCTGGATGCGCTTTCCTTGGCGTCGATCTATTGTCGGCGTCGAGGCCTTGCGTCCAGGGACCCTAGTCCAGCGCCACGCAGGGTGGATGAGCGGGAGGCCGCTATCGAAGAATGGAGGTCCAGGCTGGAGCGCCCTTGCGCTGGCCGACGGACCGTGGAGGCAGTTCGCCCCATTCTCACGCAGTGGCTGGGCAGGCGGCATGGCGTTCTAACCTTCCGCGCCACGCAGATCCTCTCGGGGCACGGTTGCTTCGGGGGGTATCTGTGTCGGATCGGGAGGGAGCCCTCTCCTCGCTGCCACCACTGCGACGACTGTCTAAATAGAGAAAACTTTCATAGTTTTGACGAACTTGTTCGAAAATGTCGGTCGATTGAAGATTCTTTGAAGGAAACTATGAGTGGTATATCGTCGCAAGGGAAGGCGAGTACGAGTATGCAAGGAGCGTCGTCGTTGTCGCCGCCGTCGGCTGTTTTAAGAAGCGTCGTCGCCCAAGCGCCTAACGAAATCGTAACTAAAGTAGAAAAACAATTTTGTTCATACTGTAAATGTGTAGGTCACTTAAAAGATTCATGTGAAAAGCTATCCCTTTACACCCGAGATTGTACAATCGTGAGTTTTGACTTTGAAAAATTCCACACTGTATCCAAAACTATTTTTGCGAACGCAACCGGCATCGATCGATCGCGTGTCTATCTAAGAGTGCAGGAAAATATACTTTACTGCCATACAAACAAGTCAGGACTCGTCAGTCGTCAAAAGGACGTGATAAGGATGGCTGCGTTTTTTGCAACAGCAACCGCTCAAGTTAGTACCTCCTATTTAAATAAATTAATGAGATTTTTAAATAGCTTTTCCTGTATATTACTTGTATATTTAATAATTTTTAACATTTTTTAATAAAGAGGTATGCCACACATATTGTTATTTCTATGATATAATTCACGAAACACATTTTTGAACTCTATTTTTTTTTTCATCAATTATAAAACTTGAGCAGCTAGTCGACGGGAGTGAAGATTTAAGCCAGGTTTCAGACATCAGTGTACAATCGACTACGCCGCTACTGAAAGATGTGAGAAAATCTGAATAGTGAGCAGGAATGCTCTGCGCGTTAATATGCACTAAGGTAAGGAAATTAGAATTTTTAGGAAAATCCTTTAAAAGTTTGTCTTCAAGTGTTTCTTGATCCGAAAGAGAAGAGTTTAAGCTATTTTCAGCACTTCCAAAGTCTTCCGAAGAAGAACAAGAAAAATATTCATCATTATACATAATACTATTATTACTTAAAATATTTATATAACATAAATAGATAGATAATTTTAAAATATAAATAAAAGTAAACAAATATATAATTAAGAATACTTGCAGTTAAAATAAAATATAAAAAAAAAATACCGCTGAATAATACTCATGCACAAGTTAACTGTAAAAGACATAATTACAGAATTATTAAGAAAAAAAAATAAAGACTAACAACAAGTGAATAAACAGACAGTGGGAAATGAAAAATTAGAGAACAGAATAATCAAAATACCACGTTAGTCGTTGACATAAAATAATCATTTTGTGTCTGTGCGCATATCATTAATGACAATTGGCATTTGACACTAATTGCATAGAGAAAAGTGACTTGGCAGTTGACATTGTATTATAGGTTTTTAATAATAAGAAAAAAAAGGTTTTAAACTACGAAATCTAACGAAAATTATAATATTAATGTGGATAACTACCCTGCATACATTTAAATGATTATTTGACATTATACAATATAAGCCGACCATATCAAAAAATATAAACAGAAACAAATCTGTTAGTTTTTGTCGGTTTTACTATGTTGTGTCATTAAGTTTTTTAATTCAGATAAAGAAGTAACCTTTACTCGGAACTTATCAGGGAGAAGTATGACTATAATACCGTCTGCAGACCAACATTTCTTCATCCCAAAGTGACTACGAGCAGCAACAAATATATCTTGCCGGGTCTTCGTTAAAAACTCCGTCACAGTTGTTTTAGTGCCTTTCAACATAGTTTTAGCCTTCCATGCAATGGAGCGTGTTTGCATGTTCGTGAACCGCAATAGAATGGACCTGGCAGATTCCCTTTTCACACCTAACCTGTGACAGGATTCAATTATGTCAGGCTTTAAGTCTGACAGCTTCATTTGGCTGGTTAATACTTTCATGATTTTCTTCAAAGCATCTTCATCCTTATCTTCCTTGATACCATGAAAGAGAAGAATCTTTCTTCTTGATGAGTCTCCAAGCGATCCAGACTTTTTACAACAAGTTCGACTTGAGACTTGAGTAAACGAAGCGACTTCCATATAAAAGTCTTGAAAGTGTAAATTTCTTTCTGTAAAGTTGAGTGACCGTCGGGCTTATTATCTAACATTAAGCGATCAGCGATAATTGTGCAGTCATTGCGCAGAAGACGCGCGATTGATCGCTCTAGGTGAAAAATAATCGTATTACCTAAGCGATCGCTAGCTAATCGTTCGCTGATCGCCAAATGCAGTTTTCGCGATCTAACTAGCGCCACTAACAATTTGGTAGCGATAATTGGAACTAAAAACGTAGCAACTAATATATAATCTGTGAAAAAATGCTAATTGACATTTGGAAATTGGATTCTAATTAGTAATTTGTTTTGTTTATACTTTATATATAAAATGGCAAATACAAATAGAGTATCGAACGACCAGCTCGAAGAACTCTTAGAGTTCCTTAGCGAGCATCCTACTTTGGCCAAGGGAGTTGGGCTTGGAGCAAGATCCAAGGAAGCTGTCGACAAGCAATGGGACAGTCTTGCTACAAAGCTCAATTCCTATGGTTCTGGGTCGTCGAAATCTGGACAACGATGGAAAAAGGTAAGTTCTCATAATATTATAGAAAAGAGATCCATTTTTAACCAATTAATTGAAAAACTGCTTGAAAATAACATTTTGTGATGTGGCGACACATTGGCGATAGCCGCGTCAGCGGAATGCGCATCCGGCGCCCGCGCCGTGGCGTCGCAATGTCTACAGCACCGTCAGCGGAATTTATCTCCGCGACCGCTCCTGCGCCTTCAGCGCAGGCGTGGTAACAATTCAGTCGTTAGTTTCGCGAGTGCCCCGACGGTCCCCTTCTCTTTCTCTATCACACAATAGTATTTTTATAGGGTCTTATATGTATTTATAAGTGTAACGTTTGGGAACAATATATGTGTTAAAGACATTTCACATTTCATTTATATCCCCCATATAATTAAGACTCTAAATTGGTGACCCCGATTCTAAAATAGCGGACAGCGACTCCGAGGGGGAATCTTGGCCGTCGGAAGTGCGACATAGTAAAGATTTAATAAACTTTATATTAAAAAGTTGAAACGTTACGAACATAGAGTGCTGTGGTAAAACAGTTACTGCCTATACTAGTGATTTCTTCAATAAATTACCCAGCGCAGCGAATAGACATGTTAGGGGCGCAAACCATGCGATCCGTAGGTGGGCAAGCAATGCCACCAGTTCTAAAAGAAGAGGGTACAGATTCACCAGGCATGACTCTAGCAGCCATAGGAGTATCAAATAAATTGCCAGATTTCTGGGTGGACATGCCGCGGCTTTGGTTCGCGCAGTTTGAAGCCGTAATGGCCCCTCAGAAACAAGGGGAAGAAGCGAAATTCAACATGGTCATCGCTAAACTGGGAAGAGACTCAATCCAGCAAGTGAGCGACTTACTTACCTCGCCACCTGCTGAAAACAAGTATACGGCGCTGAAAGAAAGGCTCCTACAGGTGTACGAAGAGAGTGCCGAGCGCCAGTTCCAAAAGCTCGTTTCTGAATTAGAGCTGGGTGCTCAGAAACCTACGCACTTATTACGCCGCATGAAAGAGTTAGGCCGCCCAGCACAGGTCTCAGATCAGACCTTGAAGAGCCTCTGGTTATCCCGTATGCCATCTTCAGTCAGGGCAGTCATTGCAGTGTGCCAAGACCAATCCCTAGATAGTTTGGCTGCCATTGCGGACAAGATCGTTGAGAACAGTAGATCCTACGAAATGGCCACGGTGGATAACAGCATAGCCCAGGTGTCACCAGAACCACTGGCAGGGCTGGTCAACCAAATGAATAAACTTGCTTTGGAGGTAGCATCATTGCGCAGCGAGGTCCAGAGCAGCAGGCGACTTAGGAGCAGAAACAGACCGAAATACAGGAGCAGATCCCGTTCCCTTAAGCGCAGAGCACCAGAAGACCCCGGATGGCTGTGCAGGTTCCATTACAGGTTCAAGAGCAAGGCGACGCGCTGTGAGCAACCGTGCAACTGGAAGGGCAGTGATCGCTTCCGGAGCTGGGGAGTATCTGGAAGGGCTAGGTGATTACACCGATGCCACTGGTGTTAAGCACCTTCTCCAGACAACTGAGCCAAACGCTCAAGGCTATTTCGGCCAAGCGACGGCCCAAACGCACGGTCTCTATGAGACCCTACCCGCCCCGGAAATCGCTCTAATGAGAGTGATGGAAGAGTTAAGAGCGTCACAGCGTGGAGAGGAGGCTGATGACGAGTGGGTGCCAGCAGGCGTAGCCCCACATTCACCGCGAATTCCCATAGAGGATGCGCGTGTAGACGAGCTTCCCGCCGTAGCAATGCGGCGACGTGCTAATCGACGTAGAGCCGAGGAGGGCGATGAGGGTGAAGTCGAAGGAGCGGTTGCAGACGAACGGCAACCTGAAGAGGCCCCCATCGTAGCGCCAACAGTTAACCTTTTGGGTTGGCGTAAGACTAAGCCATTGACGGCTAGTCAATTACAAGAACTAAACCGGGCTATAGAGTTAGATGAGCCCGAAGACGGCATAGTGATAGGCACTTACCGTGTAAAAAGACAACTCTTTGATTTGGTCGAAAGACGTCTCAGAGAGTGCAAGAGATACAAAGTCTCCCCCATCCCGGCTACTACAGGCGGCAGTGTAGCTCAACAGCTTATCTGGAAGTCTGAAGAATATTCAACTTCACGCCACACCCAGCACATACAGGCGACAGGAGTCGCTTGCTCCCGGACCACATTACCACTGAGGATAGTAACAGCCTCGAAAGTAATGTGTTATCGCACGCTCCGCAGGGAGTGGGAAGACGAGGAAGGACGCGTCTTCAATCCATGGGCATGCTTCGATTTCGACAGATATCGAGCAGTACCGAACACTTGGGTTGCCAATAGAAATAGTCTGATATCGAGAGGTGGCATCGTTCGTTAAAAGTTGCACTTTCAGCCAGATTAGCAGATAATGCATCATGGCTAGACGAGTTACCTACAGCCTTATACGGTTTGAGAGCAGCATGTAGAAGCGACGGCGATGTGAGCGCAGCAGAAATGGTTCTAGGGCACAACCTAAGACTGCCTGGCGATTTTTTCTCTGAGGTAAGCACGAAATCTATGTCACCGTGTGCATTTGTTGACAAATTGAGATTAATACTTAGTAGTCACAAACCCAAGTCACGAGCGAATAGCGATTCTCGCAAAATTTTTGTGCACAACGACTTAAAGTCTTGTTCACACGTTTTTATTAGAAACGACTTAGTAAAAAAACCATTGACACCAAATTATAACGGGCCTTATAAAGTATTAAGAAGGAACGATAAGACATACACCATATTACTACCAAATAGAAAAATGGAAATTGCAATAGATAGGTTAAAACCCGCTTATTTGTTAAAAAATACGGAAATCGATAATACGAGTATGTTATCTACTGAAAACAGTAATATTGTTAATGATAGTGATGTTGAATGTAAAAAGGGAAATTCAAATACCATAAAAGAATCGTTGCAACATTGTACCACACGCAGTGGCCGAGTTATTAAGCCACCGGTGCGTTTCTTAAATTGTTAATTTAGTATTTGTTAGATGTTTTGATTAAATGCAAAATAACAATAGTACATAGTCCATTTTTATTTTTTGCTTAATAATCAGTTATACTGTGTATTCGCATATTTAGTATAGCCTATAAGTAATTAATATTATTGTAATGGCATCATTTCAAGACGAAGTAGTTAGGAGTAAACATCCAGTTAGACATTTATTAATAATGGGAAAGGGATACAGCAAACAGACTGACAAAACGGAAGAGATAATAATAGCCCAAAATGGTGCAAACGACGCATCATTCAGTCAATTAGAACAAAAGCTACACAAATTCGGAACAATTTCCATAATAATCGTCGTATTATGCATACTTATATTGGGATATTTCATCTTAAAATGTTGCCGAAATAAAGGACAGAAAATGGATAAGGAAAGAAATAGTATCATCGGTCGAGTTGGGTCTAGCCGCACAGGCGAACCAAAATCGCTCGCAATCAGGATACGCACAATAGACATTATAGTTAAAATTGAGATATTGTTAGATATTAGTGTTAGTATAAGATATTAGTGTTAATTATAAGACAGTGTTATTTGTTAAATGTGTTTGTTAAAAAAATATTTTTAGGTTATCTGTATGATAGAATTTTTTTTATGTTTCATGTGAAAATTTGAAAAAGGGGGGGGGAGTGTTGTGGCGACACATTGGCGATAGCCGCGTCAGCGGAATGCGCATCCGGCGCCCGCGCCGTGGCGTCGCAATGTCTACAGCACCGTCAGCGGAATTTATCTCCGCGACCGCTCCTGCGCCTTCAGCGCAGGCGTGGTAACAATTCAGTCGTTAGTTTCGCGAGTGCCCCGACGGTCCCCTTCTCTTTCTCTATCACACAATAGTATTTTTATAGGGTCTTATATGTATTTATAAGTGTAACGTTTGGGAACAATATATGTGTTAAAGACATTTCACATTTCATTTATATCCCCCATATAATTAAGACTCTAAAGTGAGATAGAGCTGTACTGCTCTTTATATTTTGTGATAAATACTTTTGTTGTTATAGTACTGGGCTGATATTAAACATAAGAGCAAGGCTAGGCTAATTAGGCTGTTTTATAATAACTTATCTAAGACTGATTCATATAAATTATATATTTACTTAAAATATTTCAAGGCTTTAAGTAATGGTTTGGTTTAAATGTCATTTAAAATGGTGGCACTGCATGTCACACAATTGTACCAATTAAATATTTTTTGTAATATTGCAGTATTAGTTTTAATATTATTCTTTTTTTATTTCAATTATCTTATAAATACATTTTAGATAATAAAGCAGATGATGTGCATATTATGGTGTTATCAGAGCCCGTTACTGTGGCCTCACCTTCCACAACAGGTCAAACTTCCAACCTATGTAAGTGTTATGATTTTTATAAAACTACAAAGTACTATTATAATATTATATCATATCTCGAACTTAATATATAACAAAAAGATGATTGTCTGTCTGATCTATCAACACTCAGCTCAAACCACTGGACGGATTGAGCTGATAGGCATATGGATAGCTATTATGACATACATATATACATCTGCTAAGGCTTATATGTAAGTTATGAAAAAAAATGTATTTTAATTTGTTTATTTTTAACAATTTTTATTTGTTTATTCACAGGCACTTCCCAAATTCCAGAAACTGGTTCTCTATCAGTAAAAATGGACTTAAACACAGGACCACCACTGACTGGTGCTTATACTTATTTATAATAAAAAAATAATTAGTTTCCTTATTAAAATACATAAAGCTATAATCATATTATTTTACAGGATTAGATAGTCCAGTGGCGCGACCACGTATCTATCGCCCACGAAGACTTAATAGCCCTTATAAATCTAAAACTACAGGTAAGATCACTTTAGAAAATTTTGTTAACAATAATTAATAAATGCTTTACTGTATTGTTTCGAATAAAATTAAAATATATTTTTTTTTCAGTTCAATCTAAAATTGACCCAGAGTGGGTAAAGGGACTAGAGAATCGCAGACTTGATGCAGAGACCAAGCTTGCAGAGGCTGCTCTTTTTATGGCAGAGTCTACGCGAACACAAGCCGAAGCAGCTAAGGTGCAAGCAGATACGATGCGATCTCTTGTTGAACTAGTACGTGTGCAACAAGAAAATATCCATGCTCTGATAGAGCTGATTAGAGAGAAACAGGAAAAAAATAAAAATGATATTGTTGAACATTATTTTTTTTTTTGTTTCATAAGGAAATCTGCAAGCAGTATTTATTTTTAGCAGATATGTTCTAAGATTTATATATATATATATATATATATATATATATATATATATATATATATATATAATAATTTTTTTATATAATTAAAATAATTCTATTATTTATTGTCTGGGGGCTGACCACAATCGTTGCACTATTCTGTCTCTTTGTAGTCTTTGGTACTGGCAAGCGATGTCTATTGCAAATATTATGTAATACAGAACAGGCATTAATAATCATAGCCACCATGTGGTGGTCATAATGTGGTACTCTGTGTGCCAATAGACATCTCCAACGCGCTTTTAGAACTCCAATGTAGCACTCCACTGTATTTCTGGTACGACAGTGAACATTTGGGTAGTGCTCTTCTGCACTACCAGGTTCTGCATTTACAATTGGAGTTAAAAGCCATGGCCTCAGTGGATAGCCAGAATCACCTGTAAATTACTGATGTTTGGGAATTCTTCGCGTGCAGCAAGGAATTCCTAGTACTTCCCAGGAGAGAGCGAGTGGGTGCAAGGCCCATGTCAAATCCACAATGGCCAAAGATCAAAAGTCGAAACAGCCATGTAGTGGGATTAAGTATAGCATAGTATAAATATTAAGGACAGTATTGTGACGGAGGAGTAGAATAAAGAACCTTATCGGGAGCGGTTGTGTTTCATTACATCATCCCCGCTCCCCGCATCATTGCATGGCGACCCTGCCTTGCCGTGGCGTGGGCGAGTGTCGGGTGACCGGCGAATCTCGCAACGCAGCGGATTCCTGTGTGCCTCGGTGCCAGTTTTAGTACAGTTTAATTTTTATAACGTGAAGTGAATTAAATAAATCTTATATATTAAAGAAAAATAACTAACGTTTAACTAACAATGGGGAAATATTATTCTAAAAATGAAGATAAGGAGATATTGATTAACCAAAATGCAGTCGGTAGTAACGGTGCTGTACTCGCAGAAACAAATCTACAAACACATATGCTGACCAACAACATCCTAATTGCAGTGGTCTTGGTACTGTTCGTTGTTTTTTCAATATATTTTGGGTGTAAAGCATGGCGTAAGAAGGAGAGAAAATGGATAGAAAAGAGGATGCAAACAGAATTTGTTAGAAGGATCCGTCAAAGGCTTTCCGGGAAGTTCAATGCTGCAAATGCTGCTGGGAGTGATGCTGTTTAATAAGGCAAAGCTGCTAGTGCTGGCTGGTGTTCGGCCGCGCACCTACTTTAGTGAAAGTGAAATGTGAAAAATAAGTGTAAAAAAGTGCATCAACCCCCCCAAAACCCCCACATCATTATTTTTTTTTTATTACTATCTCTTGTCCCTCTTCGTGCGTAAATATGAAAATTTATGAACTATAACATAATATGAACTTTATGAACTGTAGTATATAGTGTAACTTTATAATATATGAATTTTAACAACTATAATATTTAGTGTATGTATAGAGTTATGTATGGAAAAAGATTTAGAATTTATATTAAATAAGTTAATTGAAATTCAAATAGATTTAAGAAAGTTGGGCCCTACTAGAAGATTAAAATATAAAGGTAATGTTAATAATAAGATTTTAGAAGCTGAAAAATTATTTTTAACATATAAAGATATTATTAATATTATTGCTAAGCAAGACATTAAAGTAGAGTTAAAAGATTATGTGTTCGAAGTATTAAGGGAACGTATTGAGTGCATATATGATAAAATATTGACATATAAATTTAATTATCAGGGTAGCACAATGGATAAATTCGATATTAAAACGGCAACCTCTTTGATCCCCGTAATGGATAATACGGAGGAAATTACTGAAAATATTATTAACGGAATTGAGATGTACAATGAATATCTTGTAGATGTTACTCAGAAAAAATTACTCATCTCTTTTGTTTTAAAAACCAGGTTATCTAAGTCTGCTAAATTAAAGCTAAAGAGCGAATATGATGACGTGACGAGTTTAATACAAGACATTAGAAAGTTTTTACTAACAAAAAAATCTGCAAATTCGATACTAACACAATTAAATAATTTATCGCAAAATAACATGTCCATTCACGAATTCGGTGATAAATTATCTGAGTTATTTGTAGGCCTCACTATTGCACAAAGCGACGGAAATCCGAAGTCTTGTGAGATATTGAGACCTATAAATGAAAAACTTGCAGTTAAAAGGTTTGCAGACGGATTACGCAATAGGAGACTGAGCACAATTATATCGGCACGAGACTACTCAAGCCTGAAGGACGCAGTACGTGCTGCTGAGGATGAGGAGCTGGGACAGCCTTCGTTGTCCAACAACATCTTCAACGCACAAAGGAGAGGTAACCAATTCCCATATTATAGGTCTTCACTAAGAGGTAGAGGTGGACAAATGACTTCTAGAGGTAATTTTTATTCAAATCGCGAATTCCGTCCTCAATTGCAACAGACGACGCTACGAAATTACAACAACTTCAACAATTATATGAAAGGTAAATACGTAAAAAATAATTATAATCGAGGATATAATAATACTCGATCGACGCGAGGTTATCGTGGTAATTTTGTGAGTTCGAGTCGTGTTCGAGGTAACACTAGTAGTGGTAATCACAATCAGCGAAATATTTGTACCGCACATGTCGAAACTACAAATGAGGATAAAACTACCGAACGGAATCAGTTTTTTCGGTCCTAAAAATTATATTTTAACTTGCGACGATAATGTAAAATATGTGTATTTAAATTTAGATAATCAAAAATGTTCATGGTTGGTAGACACAGGTGCTTCATTATCGGCAATTCGTAGTAACATCTTATCGGAACGTATACCGATACATAGAGACCCTATAGTTATAAACGGTATAGGTGGCAGGACATATTCAGATGGCTATGTTTATTTAACTCTACAGGCATCAGACGGTACTACTTATGAGCACAAGTTTTACTTGTTTAAGAACTTACCTTGTAAGTCAGATGGTATAATTGGTTTACATTTTCTGAATAATTTTAATTCAATTATCAATTTAGAAAAAAATATATTAACTTTAACCAATGAAAAACAAAGTGAGATACCATTATATACTTCACCTAAACTATGTACTAAACATATTGCGATACCGGCACGGTGTGAAACTATTCATTATATAAAGTTAAATTCAGATGTGAAAGAAGACAGTGTGATTGTACAGAAAGAATTACAAGAAAACTTATTTTTGGCTGGTTTGATAGTAAAACCTAAAAATAACATAGTACCTATCAGATTAATGAATATCAGTGATAAGGAAATAATTATTCCAATTTTTCAACCCGAGTTATTACCATTAAGAGAGTATAATGTTTGTTTCTTTGATAAGTGTAATTCGAACTCTACACGTGCAAAAACTTTATTACAATCTTTGAAACTTGATCACTTAGGTACAAGCGAACGAAGCAATATAGAAAGTATTTGTTCAAAGTATGCTGACATATTTCATTTACCCGGTGATAAGCTAACTACTAATAATTTATGTGAACAATCAATTAATTTGAAACAAAATATAAATCCAGTTTATGTAAAGCCATATAGGTTACCACATAGTTTAAAAACAGAAGTAGACAAACAAATCAAACAAATGTTAGATGACGACATCATAGAACCTTCACAAAGTGAATGGTCCAGTCCTATATTATTAGTACCTAAAAAATCAGATGATAAAGATAACAAAAAGTGGAGATTAGTTATAGATTACCGAAAGTTAAATGAAGTTATACAGGATGATAAATTCCCATTACCAAATATTACCGAAATACTAGATTCACTATCAGGCGCAATTTATTATTCTCATTTAGACCTTAGCCAATCATATTATCAATGTTCTTTAAAGCCTGAATCCAGACCAATTACATCTTTCACAACTAGTACAGGTCAATATCAAATGAAACGTCTACCTATGGGACTAAAAATCAGTCCTAGTGCTTTCTCTAGAGTGATGTCAGTAGCCATGTCAGGCCTTAACTACATAAAATGTTTTATTTATTTAGACGATTGTATTGTTTTTGGACGAAACCTTGAATTACATAATAAAAATTTAATAGAAATATTCGAACGTTTACGTAAAGTCAATCTTAAATTGAATCCGAATAAATGTCAATTCTTAAAAACAGAACTATTATATTTGGGTCATACGATATCTTCTGAAGGAATTCAACCAGACTCAGAGAAAATCAAAGTTATTCAAAATTATCCAACACCGACAAACGTTGATGAGGTCAGACGTTTTGTCGCGATGTGTAACTACTATAGAAAGTTTATTAAAAATTTTGCTGATATAACTAATTGTTTGAATAAACTTTGTAGGAAAAATGTCAGATACGAATGGACTGAAGAATGCGAAAATTCATTTAAATTTTTGAAAAACGCTTTAACGACTCCACCCATTCTACAATACCCCGATTTTTCAAAAGAATTTATACTACAAACCGATGCTTCGGGAACAGCAATAGGTGCAGTGCTTTGTAATAGTAACATGAGGGCTATAGCCTATACTAGTAGACCTTTAAATAAAGCAGAATTAAACTATCCAACAATACAGAAGGAACTACTTGCCATAGTTTGGAGCGTTAAATATTTCAGACCATATCTATATGGACGTACCTTTACAATAATGACAGATCATAAACCTTTAATATACTTGTTTGGAATGAAAGATCCGTCAAGTAGACTTTTAAAATTCCGATTAGCACTAGAAGAATATGATTTTAAAATAGTATACGTGAAAGGGAAAGAAAATGTGATAGCAGATGCTTTATCGCGAATAAGCATAACGTCCCAAGAGTTAAAGGTAATGAATGAAAGATTAATGGCAGTAACAACGAGAGCGCAAGCTAGGAGAATGAGAGAGGCTGAAAGAGAGAATGAAAGAAAGAATGAAAGTGGAAATAAGGTGATAGACGATATCCCAAGTATTGACCAGAACGATTGGCCTGATCAACCAAAAGTAGTGGAAATACTTAGGATACCGAATAGAGCAGTTGAATTAAGTTTACTGGAAGGAGAAGAATTGAAAAAAATGAAAGAGAAAAAAATGATTGATGTTGAATCTGAATGTTTCGCATTTCGAAAAAATAAAAATATATTATATGTTAATCTCGATTTTAAAGCACATTATACGCGAGACGTTTTTGTGGAAAAATTGAGACAAATATGTGAAAAATTAAAAATTAAAGAAATATGTATCATAAAAAGAGAAGATAACACATTGTTTATCAAGAATCTTGTAGAAGAAATAAAAAAAATAAACAAGTGGTCCGGACCACGCATTTGTATTTTGAGAGGTATAAAAAGAATAGATAGTAACGAAGAAAAGGAATTTATTATGAATGACTATCATTGGCTTCCCACAAGCGGACACGCTGGGATTCGCAGAATGATAAATAACATAAAACGTAGATTCTACTGGCCAGGAATCGAAAATGATGTTAAGAGTTATGTTCGAAAATGTGAAAAATGTCAAAAGATGAAGTATTCTAGATATATTAAGGAACCTATGGTTATAACGACTACAGCAAGTTCTGCTTTAGAAAAAGTTTTTCTAGATATAGTCGGTCCGTTAGATAGAGACTTAGAAGATAATAAATATATATTAAGTATACAATGCGAGTTAAGTAAGTTTGTAGAGGCATATCCTCTTAAAAATAAGGAAACGGTAAGTATAGCTAAGAGTTTTGTGAATAATTTCATTTTAAGGTTTGGAATTCCAAAGGTCATCGCTACAGATCGTGGAACTGAATTTATGTCTGCTACAATGGAAGAGGTATGTAAATTACTTAACATAGAAAAATTAAGTTCGACAGCATATCATCATCAAAGTATTGGTTCACTTGAAAATGCACATAAACATCTAGGTTCATTTTTGCGCATACAGTGCGATAGCCATCCAGACACTTGGAGCCAATGGCTACCATTTTGGTGTTTTACATACAACAATACAGTTCATTCAAGTACGAAATATGCACCATACGAGTTAGTTTTCGGAAAACCTTGTGAAATGCCTAGTAGAATTTCTGCTGACATAGAACCATTGTATAATCCAGATAATTATAGTTTAGAATTAAAATATAGATTACAGGTAGCTAGCAGAGATGCAAGAGAAAACTTGTTAAAATGTAAAGAGAAAAGGAAACAAAAATATGATAAGAATGTAAATCAAATAAAATATAAACCAAATGATATGTTACTAGTAAAAAATGAGACAGGAAGTAAACTAGATACTTTGTATAATGGCCCGTATGTAGTTATTGAAGAGCAAGAACCTAATGTAAAAATTTTGAGAAATGGTAAAATTGAAATTATTCATAAAAATAGAACAAAGCCCTTTGTAAAAGATAAATAATATGTTTATATTCATAATTCACTTAATATTAAGAAAATCTATTAGAATATTGTTAAGTTTAATAAGCAGTTTTTTTTTTTTTTAAAACAGTAGCAGTATCTTTGTAGTTAGTACATAAGCATTAGATTGTAACTAAAAAAAAAAAACATTTTTTTTTTCTCTTTTACCCCGGTGGTGTAGTGGGATTAAGTATAGCATAGTATAAATATTAAGGACAGTATTGTGACGGAGGAGTAGAATAAAGAACCTTATCGGGAGCGGTTGTGTTTCATTACATCATCCCCGCTCCCCGCATCATTGCAGCCAAAAGGAAAGGGTGAGGGAAAACACTCTAAAACAAACCCCCATACGAGTTAGAGCCAGTCCACACGGCGCGTTGCGTCAGCGTTGCGTCGACGCAGCGCTACCACTGCGTTGTTTTACATACAAATAACCAAGGTGTTCACACGGCGCGCTGCGTCGTCGCAACGCACACATGACGGACAGCAGCCCCCGAGACGAAGCGGGAGGGGGTGTACTCGTGCGACGTCGGAGCGTCAGCGCTCAGTTGCTTGTGCGTTGACAGAGAGGATACACGGAAGCTCATTTCGTTTTACGTTTACGTTTTTGTATTTAGTTTTATTTGCAGGGTAAAATGAATACCATTGAAGAAATTGACATAGATTACTTGATTACATTGATACAGGAAAGGGAAATTATATGGGACAAGTCAAACGTAGATTTTAAAAATAAAAATTTAAAAACAAAAGCCTGGGAAGACATATCAAAACTTTTATTTCCTGATTACGAGAATTTCACAGCTGAACGAAAAAATAAAGTTGGTGAGTTCACAGTACAGATATTTATGTTTTTTTTATTTAAGAGGGCTTTCAAGATTTTCTTGCACCGCCAATTCCGCGATCAGTACAAAATTAATATCTCGACACTCTAAAATTTTAAAACTTAGGGAATTTAGATTAGCGTGAGTACTATTTTATTACTTAGCTCAAAACTAACCTAGACTACGCTGAGTAGGTATAAAATATTATTTTTTTACTGATCGCGGAATTGGCGGTGCAAGAAAATCTTGAAAACCCTCATAATACAATTATACCTTATTTAGCTGCCAAGGCAGAGTTCCTCTAGTCATAAAATAGGTCGCATATTGCTGTCTTATGACATTCGGTGCTGTCTGTTCTTCATGTACGGGTTGTATTGGGAGAAATTCATCAACACTTATAGCAAATTTATCTCTTTGTCTAAAACCATCTCGATCAGCGACAAAATTGTGTAATACACAACATGCTTTTATAATGTCAGTAGCGAAGTCATAGGACACGTCTATCGGTCTGTGAAAAATGCGCCATTTGTTAGCCATAATCCCAAAAGCGCATTCGACATATCTTCTGGCTCTGCTTAGACGGTAATTGAAAACCTTTTGTTGTAAGTCGAGATTTTGACCGCCATATGGACGCATAATATGTTTGCTCAGTCCAAAAGCTTCGTCACCCACAAATACATACGGGGTTGGTATATTGCTACCAGAGAGTGGCTGGGGTTGAGGTAGTGGTAAGTTGTTGTTAATCATTAGCTCGTACAGTTTAGAATTTTGTAATATGGTTGAATCGCATTCTTTTCCGTATGCACCGATGTCGACAAATACGAATTTGTAATTTGAATCCACAATAGCTAGCAACACAATCGAAAAAAAGGCTTTATAATTAAAAAAAAGTGAGCCACTATTTGCAGGATTACACACGCGGATATGTTTGCCGTCGATGGCACCAACACATTGAGGAAAATTTGCCTTTACATCAAAACCCCTCGCTATTGTTTGGAAACTTTCAGTTGTCAGTTCAGGGATGTTGTCTCGAAGAAGATTGGTCCATATAGCACGACAAACTCTTTGTATTATATATGCAATAGTAGATTTTCCCCGTTTGAATTTGAAATGTAAATCAGTTATTGAATTTCCACTTCCTAGGTATCTGAAAAGAAAATAATTATTATAATATGCATTTATGAGATAGATAGATACCCGAAAAAAAATACTGACATATTCAGACATCGATAGCAAATAACTTTCTCTATGTAACCAATTAATTCTGGAATCGCGAAAAAAATAGCAGCTGTTGCATACATTTTGATTCAGTAGGTATTGCTTTTTGTATGTAACAGCTGTTATATTTTCACGATTCCAGAGTCGGTCACATAGTGTTTGTTAACGATATCTGAATATGTCATTAAATTTTATCGAGAAATTCACTATGTATAAATTATTAAATCATGTTTACTATTGGTTTTGCAGGTAATGATTTAATAAAAAAATGGAGAAGTGTAAAAGATAATTACTTCAGATATTCAAAAAAATTAAAAGAAGCATCAAAATCGGGCTCGGGCGCTACGAAACTGAAGAAGTATCATTTATACAATCAACTCCTTTTTTTGAGAAAAGTGGAACAAAATGCCACCGAATCTAGCTTAGACTCGCCTAGAGAAATCAACAATGAATCTACGTCTACAAATGATGACATTACCACAGACAACACTCCGCGCTATGTTCCAGTCGCGCGCAAAAGGGCAATGCAAATGGATGAGTTTGAAAGAGAAGGACTAAAACTTCTCAAGGAGCCGGAAAATCGCCATATGTCCTTTTTCAGAGCTATATTGCCATCTATTCAAGAATTTTCCGACCGAGAAACTCTCCGTTTCCAAAGTAAAGTTATACAAATTATAGATGAAATGCGGTATGGACAAACATCATCATATGTGAGTGGCCCATCAACGTCTCACCAACCACCATATGGGTATCAAACAGCAAATTTTCAAAGTACATACATTTCTGATTTTAATAATTCAATTACATCTCCAGAAACATCTCAAGCAAGTGAAGAAACTGAATACGATTTTTCTAATTTGTAATTACTGGATGATATCTCTCTTAAATAATGTCTAAATTTAAAATTATGACAATTGCTGATTATTTGTGAGTTGATTACTCTCTTAAATAATGTCTAAATTTAAAATTATGACAATTGCTGATTATTTGTGAGTTGATTACTAATTAAACAAACCAAAAAAACTGTTATATTTTTATTACTTAAATATATTTATATAGTTACCTTAAAGTGATTCCCAGCATTTCTACTGGTTCCACTGGATTCCTCATATTAGTATAGTTTTTTCGTATGTGTGGTTCTAAGGACTTCAATAAACATTCGAAGCTGGATACACTCATTCTAAAAAAATTATAAAACTTCTTTTCGTCTAATAGCAACTCCCGATATTCAAAAAAAAAAAACTGTCCATCACGATTTCTTAATGAAATGAAAGGACTGATCCAGTACCGTCTTGTGATCTTGCGTCGATTTCGGCGGTGACGTAGTAATAGGAGCAATGCTAGACGTCTTTTCCGATCCATGATTTGCTATAGACTGACTGCGAATTTTTTTCAAAATACTTGCCGCAACTGTGCGTCGCCGCTGCGCCGACGGAACGTTGACTGCGTCATAGTAACGCTGCAGCGCCCGTGTGGCCGGCTATGCGTCAAAATATTTGCGTTGCGACGACGCAACGCAACGCAACGCGCCGTGTGGACACGCTCTTAAGCTGACGGAAAACAGCAAAGACAAACCGCCAAGCCTGTTGAGCCCTCGGGAACCAACCGGACCGTTGCCGAGGCAGTCATCCACGTCGACGAAGCGAAGAGAACGAAAGCAAAGCTCAGACGCCAACGAAAACGTGAGAAAAGGCAAGCCGCCCAAACGGATGCCGTTCGAAGGACAAGCAGCGCCCTGTCAACGCGCAGCTTGTCAAGTACTACCTGCGAAGTGTGGGAAACCGGAAATAAAGGGTCAGAGTCAGGATTCTTAGTTAGCTATAGTGGATCGTGGTCACCACAGAACGATGAAGTCGCAAGACTGCGAGAGCAAGTCAAGCGCCTCACCGAGTACGTCGGCACACTTGAAACCAAGCTCATCAAAGCTGAGAAGACAGCGAAGGAAGCAAAAGATAGAGTCGCAGAGCTACAACAGCAAGCCGCGGCTCTTAAGCGAGCTAAACTACCCCCAACCGCTAGCGATAGTAGGAATGTATCTCCGGTACCTGCTAAGGTAATGTGGGAAGAGGATGTGGAGGATTACAAGAACAAGGCTGAATTGGCTGATGCTGAAGTGAAACAGATCAAGTCTGAACAAGAACTTCGTGAAACCAAGTCACCAGGTGCTTATAAGGCTCTGTCATCTTTACACCAAAACGCGGGGCATGCACATCGATGATAAGACAGAACAGTACGCTGCTTCAGTGGTAACTGAATATGTAAACAAAACGTCCGTGGCGGACCCAATTCAGAGAAAAGAGATCATGAAGTATGCACTGAAATGGTTCTTTGAAGATGAGAGAGCATGCACTACAGCGCTGACCAGAGATGCCGTTAAAACTTCTTTATAAGCCTCAGTCAGACCGCAATTTGCAGACTATGCCATGAGACAGAGGAAACTGCTATGCACATCCTCTGCTCGTGCGGTCCACTCGTGCACCGCAGAAGTATCTATCTAGGGCAGAATATTATGCAACCGGAAGAGGTACAGATGCTCCTCGCTCAGAAAATCTGGAAGTTCCTGGAGTCAACAGGACTAAGCGGAGAACTTTGAACTCATTATAAAGGGAGCTACAATGGACCAAAACTGGTCGACGTAGGGCCGACCTCGGCACCACACCCAACAAAAATAATAATAATAATACTGATGTTTATTAAAAATATTCATATTGCTCTTTTACTGTAATATTATTAGTTATTCTACGCACCTAGAAACCAGACATTTTCACCTCTACTGTGAAGCTCTTGGAGATGGCTCTAAATTTCACCATTTTTTCCATATGTATGCATCATGTGAGGCACAACCAAATGATGCATCAATATTTAAAATATTTAAATCACTATCACATATCTAGAAAAAATACATTTATGTAGATTTGTGTACATGAATTATAATATACAATAATGGACTAAAATTTTCTAAAAATATATAAAGAAAAGGTAACTGACCGACTGATTTATATCAATGCACAGATATAACTACAGGACTGATTGAAATTTTTCATATAGATGATTATTATGATGTAGGCATCCCTTAACCAATATTTTAAAATTTAATCCCTGGAGGGTGGAATAGAACTTAATTTAAGTGAAACTGTGGGGGTCAACACTAGTTATCATAAGTACAAAAAAATATGTATGAATTACTTACCATTTGAACATTTCGTGAATGGTAATGTTTCCTATTAAAAAATCTCTCTTAATACTATGTTGGCTTAATAAGAGCTACATGGGTACCATCTATACAACCCAAGCAACCAGAAAAACCAAATTTTTTTGAAAAGCTAAAATAAAGTGAATTAGTGAATCATAAAGTAAAAACAGTTGTGAAACTACAATTTTTACAAATCTTCTAGTCCTTACCCATTTATTATTACCTGTCTTTCTAGTCGAGAATGAGGGAAATGTATGTACTTGGTCAGTATACTGTGTGTATTTAATGCCCTAGTCACTTCTTACACAGCATTAGATACACTAGATTGACTGAGCCCATGCAAGTAGCTCATGCCAACAGGCTTCTGATAAGAGCCTGTGGCATAGAATGAGCTGTAAGCACCTGTAATATCACCATATATTAACATTAAGCCTCCTGTTAAGTCAATAAAGGACAATATTGCATACATTACGATATTATTATTTACTTACTTTGCATTCTACAGAGATTTTTGTTCTCCTTTTCAACCGAACCATGAATGGTTTTAACTCCGGGCATAAATGTTTAAACAGCTCCTTAGTAAGTCTGTAGTTGGCTTTGAAGTCAGTGTCAGAAAGCTTCGGCTTGATTTCGAAGTCTACGTCTCAGTCGTGGTGTATCGCGGCTGTGACGCCGTTGGTTTTCACGGTTCTCAATCTCTAGTGCCTCAAATAAAAGAAAAGCACGAACCAGATCGAATGCAAATGATCAAAGACCAACATGTAACGTAAACAGAAACTACGCTTTACACTTACTGCAATTTATCAACACCAAAATAGTTAAAAATATTATTATCACTTTTTATACACATAAAAAACGCAGCTTATATGTATAACAATATAAGAGAAAATCCTAAAAGTAAAGACAAACAATAGATCAGCAATCGGCAAAAAATCACTTCTAGGGCTATCGCAAACTGACAGATTATATTGTTTGTTGATTGCTATCGCATTGCTCTCGAGAGTCATACGTAATACGAAAAAATCGTAATTTCATACACATAAAGCTCGCACATAAAATTCATCTTAATTTCTTAATATGTCTGACGTAAAATTGAGAGATCTTGTGAGGAAGCGTGGCAGCTTTAACATCATTTAGTGATTTTCTTAGATTTTTACCGAGCATTAATTTAGATTCCTTTCAATTGGCGGACGGAACTAGAGGGTCCGCCAATAGGGACGCGCGAAGTTTGCCGGAAGGGTGCGGCCATGTTGTTCGAGGTAGAGCTGTCAAAGTTGCTGTCATTTGTTCAGTATATAACCCCAAATCACCATGGCAAGTTTGAGTGTCGTGCAGCACGTGCAAATTATTAAATTGTTTTACGAAAATGGGTCATCAGTTCGAGCAACGTTCCGCGCACTTCGCCCATTTTACGGTCGCGATGATCGGCCTGTAGAGTCGACTATCCGTCGATTGGTGGGCAAACTCGAGTCGACTGGTTCAGTAAACAACCAGCCAACACTGACACGTCGACGAAACGCCCGATCGAACGAAAATATCGCTGCTGTCCGTGAGAGTGTGCGCGAGAACCCGAGGCAGTCCATTTTTTGTCTTGCACAGGAACTTGGCCTTTCGGAGACATCAACTCGCAGAATTTTGCATCTGGATTTGGGTCTGTACCCGTACAAAATCCAATTGACCCAGGAGCTCAAGATAAACGACCACAGACAGCGTCGGGCGTTCGCTGACTGGGCTCTGAAGCAGTTAGAATCTTCAGCGACGAGGCTCATTTCTGGATGAACGGGTATGTGAACAAGCAAAATTGCCGCATTTGGAGTGAGAACAACCCACACGAGTTCCACCAAGTGGAAATGCATACCCAGAAAGTCGCTGTTTGGTGTGGATTTTGGGCCGGCGGCATCATCGGTCCGTACTTTTTCGAGAACGAAGCTGGGACGGCCATAACCGTCAATGTCGAGCGCTACAGGTCGATGATAACCAACTTCTTTTGGCCTAAACTGGATGATATGGACACGGACGACATGTGGTTCCAGCAGGACGGCGCCACGTGCCACACAGCCCATGCCACAATGGACATTCTGCACGAGCGATTTCCGGACATGGTCATCTCGCGCGGAGGCGATATCAACTGGCCACCGAGATCGTGCGATTTAACGCCTTTAGACTTTTTTCTCTGGGGCTATCTCAAGTCGCTGGTCTACGCCAACAAGCCTCTAAACACCGATGACCTCAAAGTCAACATACGCAACGCCATCGCTCAAATTGAGGCAGATATGTGCTCCAGAGTCATCGAAAATTGGACCTCCCGGATCCGGGCTACCAAACGGAGCCGCGGTGGTCATTTGAACGATGTTATCTTCCATACTTAATGGGGTCGAATACCCTTTCGAATGAAAAATAAATTTCGTTTCTACCTCACACACAACTTGTTTTATTCAATTTTAAAGTTCACGCGCCCTTATTGACGGACCCTATACAATGCCGCCTTGATCAAATGGAGATTCTATATCTCTGCCACGTCGGATGGCAGGTATCATCAGAGATATAGTTGCAAGCACGACTTCGTCCGACTACCCAATACAGACTTGCCTCACTTCAACGGGGACTATCAGCACTGGCTTGAATTCCAAGATACGTATATTTCCTTAATTCACGATAATGAAAGCATACAATCAATTAATAAATTCCATTATTTGCGTGCCGCTTTAACCGGCAGTGCATCGTTACTAATAAAAAGCATTGACTTTAAGGCCGATAACTATACTTATAGCATGGCAGTTGTTATTTGACCGCTACAATAATGAAAGGTTGCTTATCAATAATCATGTGCAAGCGTTATTTAACTTTTCTGTTATACAAAAAGAATCATGCCATTCATTACGTAATATGATAGATATTATAAGTAAAAATTTAAGAGCACTTGACACTCTCGGACAGCCTACAGAACATTGTGACACATTAATCATTTATATGATGACTAAAAAATTGGATACTGTGACCTACCGAGTGGGAAGAATAAAAAAATAGTTAACACAACACCCTCTTACATAAGGAATCTCATAATGACCTTAAACCGAGTGACAGTATCACATTGTCAACTAATATTATTAATAATACACAATCAAAAATAATCAGGCCCTTATAATATTATCCACAGCTATGGCAAGGGTGGCTGATGTCAATGGGAGGCTTCATCCCGCCAGACTCCTCTTAGACAATGGCAGTACTTCCAATTTCATCACCCAGGAACTCTGTGGAAAGCTCGGTCTGGTAAAACGAAGCTCTAATTCAATCATCTCAGGTATTAACGGTCAAGTTTTTGGTACATCTAAAAGTTGTCATCTTACTATACAATCTTCTTGTGGTGACATCAGGTGAGCGTAGACTGTCTTATTTTTTAGAATTTTCATGAATATGCTGTCGTAATGTCTATGTTTAAGTTATGACAAGCTACCTACTACACTACCCCTTTTAGACATAATATTATAATATTAAGTGATCTTTGTCAATAAGTTTAATTTTCAATTATAAAAGAATCCAATATCCACGTCTACGTTGTTTCATTTAATTCACGCTGCTGCGCACGTCTATGCAACAAGGAGCCTTTGTCGAAGGACTTTAAGAGTTTCTAATTATGATGTTTTTATTGAGAAACAATCATATCAGCAAGATAATCAAGAAATCAATTAGTGGTATATCTGGCATTTTAGAAATGCTGCGAGGACTGGACTTCGTCTTCTGCTATATCGACGATATGCTAATATCATTCGGGAAACTATGTTCCAAGGTTTTCTGCTCACACGACTTGAAACTCGCCACTAAAATATCTGTTTACATGGCGATAGTGCTGCCAAGCCTCCTATATTCTTCTGAGTTGTGGTGTGTGAACCGTCTCCACATTCGCAAGCTAGACAGATTCCACCTTAAATGAGATCGGCTGGTCTGATCGAGTGCGAAATACCGAAGTTCTGCGTCGAGCCAATGTCGGTGGCATTGAGTCATACCTTATGCGTCGCCAGCTTCGGTAGTGTAGACACATCACGCGAAAGTCGGAAGAACGAGTAGCGAAGCGCATCTTTTATTCTGAACTACAGGAGGGCAAGCGGCTAGGCGCTAGGATAGGCTAAGCTAGGCGACCAACTGCTCACATATAAAGATGTTCTGGAGCGTCATATGAAAGGATGCAATTTTTTTTTTTTTTTTTAAAAAGCCGGAACTCTTCTGACGTGATGATCAGAAACCTTTTTTACAATTTTGATTTGTTTACAGTTTTGAAGACTTAAATTTTAGGTGATTTTTTACATTTCGTATTACCTTAGTTTTTTAGTTTGGGGAGAACTTTTGTTCTTTACATTCAATTTTTACTCTTAAGTTTACTATTATATATAGTTGTACAATTTTTATTACTGAGTGTTTTTTTCTTTTTTTTTCTTTTTTTTTTTTTTTTTTTTTTTTATTTGGGTATAGGTATTTACTACTATTATTATTTCTATTTACATTTCTTACATACTATATTGCTTGCTTTTATTCTTATTGTATTTATAGTATTACTTTCTAATTTACTTATTTTTATAATTATTATATGTTTATGACAGGTGTTTTTGCCAGAGAGTACATTTTGAAGGTAAGTGCCTATTTATTACTAATTGCTTTTGCATTCTTAAGTATACTTATGAAATATTGCTTAACAATATTTTAATATACTAGTTTCTTACTTATTATTTTTATTTACTAGAGATAAGTACTGTTTTTTTTTTTTTTTTTTCAGTACTGTTTGGTTTTTTACTTATTTTGTACTTATTCTATTGTGGTGTGTTTGTGCCATCTGGTTAACTTTGCTCCTCAAATCTTCAGGTTTGATTTGCATGTTTTCGGTGGTGGGTAACTATTTGCTTTTTCGACTCTTGCTGCGGGGTAAGATAATCTTGCTCCGTGGTATATTTATTATACCTGCTTTATTGGGTCTGATGCGTATGTGTGGGCTTCTATTTGTGTTTTTAGGAGTATGCTACACTCGAGCGGGCTAAGTCATCCCACTTTTTCCTCACTGGGCAGTGCACGTCAAAGCTGTTGTGATCGGTTTTGGCGCATTTTGCGTGCAGGCAGTTTTTGCATGTAGGCTCCTCGCCTGCCTGCAAGCTTGGACATTCGGTGCGGAGATGAGGTCCTGAACAATGGCTGCACAGATCTATACTATCTGTGCACCATTTTTTCCCATGTCCGAATGCCAAGCAGCGCGAGCACTGCACCAGTGGGGACAAGTCGAACACGGGCACCCTTTGGATATCCACGTAGACCTTCCCAGCTGTTGTTAATGCTCTCCATACTTTTGGGGATACTTCCAGTACTACGTGTGTCTCCATCGGGTTTCTCGCCCTTCGTCTATGCCTGATCTTCATCCTGTATTCGTCTGTCGGGATGTGATTTAAAAGTTCGTAATTTTGCTTCTCTAATGACTGCAGTATATCTTCATCCGTGTTACTATTATTTACATTTCTAATAATTACTAAAGGGTCCTTGTTTGCTTTTATCTCTACTTTGAATTTTTTCGTTTCAAGTTTCTCCCGTATGCTATCTATGTCTTCTTTCTTCTCACAACCAATGAGCACTTTCTGGTCTTTTACCTTCCTCAGCTTTGATATCTGAAGTCCTGTATCTCTAGCATTCAACGTGGTTTTGATTTTCGTTAGCACTTCTTCACTAGTGTCATTTACGTTGTCCGTACCTACGAGTAGGCAGAGGGTCGGTTTTGGTAGTGAAGCTTGCTGTAATGCATGAGAGTAGGATTCTGGTGTCGTATTTGGCTTCTCTGTTGGTGTTGGTTGTGAGATTGGTATTGCCTTGATGTCTTCTTTTATTTCTTGTAGGTGTTTTTGGGTTTTTTCGGTTGCTATGTTCTGTTTTTGTAGTTCCTCCATCAGTCCGGTATTGCTTTTTTCCTCCTTTATTTTTTTATTTCTGCCTTTAACTCCGAGATTTCCTTTTTTAAGTCCAAGTTTTGTGTTATTACTTGTTCCATTAGTTTTTCCATCTTTGTGTTTAGTTCCGTCATTTCTTGTGTCTGTTTTTGTTTTTCAGGTGCCTGGTCAAGTCGTTCCATTACCGCCGCTAGTACCTCTCTAGCTAGGTCTGTCATGTCGCAGTTATGTGGAGCAGTTTTTCTGCATGAAAGGCTATGTTTTCTTTTATTGACGTTTTTATATTTTTTGATTCGTTGATTGATTCCAAAATATTATTGTAATGTGCTTCTGCTTTGTTGTCTATTACCTCTTTAGGGGGAAAAATTTCGGATTTTTGTCTGATTAGTTTAGTTACATAGGGGGGCAAGGGTAGAGGTAGAGGTGATGGTGTTGGTATTTTTGATGGCGACGGTGATGCGGTTGTTGTCATTTTTATATTTTTGCTTGACGTGGCTTGCGGTTTGGCGGTTTTCGCCTTGACCGCTGGCGGTTTGGAGGTTTTGGGAGGTGTCCTGTGCATGGTGGAGTCCGGCTCTTGTCAAAATAGTCAATAAATTATATTATAGCGAGTGTAAATGGCTCGCTATATGTCTTGGTCTACCTTAATTTAATTATATCCTAAATAAAATTCCAATATGGAATGTATCTTCCTTATAGCTTATGATCTAGATTGCTTAATAACTTAAAAACTACTGAACGGATTTTATTGCGGTTTTCACTATAAAAAACTAGGAGAGTTGCTCTTCACTTTTCAATTTTTTACAGGGGTCGTCACTGAAGATAATTTTTAATCTTCTTCTGAAGTTTGTCGATATTTTTCAAAATTTTAAAATGTCTATATCTTTGTCACTGATTAAGTTACGGCTATGCACGATACCTTTTTGTTGACGGCGCGTCCAGCTCTCTCTAGTGGTGGTAGTTCGAAGTCTCTATCTCTCTCCGTTACGGAAAGAGAGATTTTGTCCAACTTGTTTTTTTGAACTTTCTAACCACTTCCCGTTGTCCTAAAAATCCGGGAGTGGTGTCGTTGGATAGGTCTTCATGAGCACTTTATAACCCACAAATAAAAATAGTACGTTATCGATCTAGATCGAGCGCCGCACACGAAAACAGTTTAAAAATGTTTAAGTTTTTCACTTTTTGCCAAATTTTGGCTAATTCCGTGCACAATTTTTGTCACTATTGTTATATATATATACGTTGACACTTAACACACTATATTACACAGTATTTGACAAATTTTTAGTCCTTTTTCTATTATTTAGCAATTTTTACAACTTTTAAACGCCGTTTCTTCGACCGGAGCACTGTTTCCGACGCAGTAAGCGCGTCCGTTCGCTCCCGGTGGTCGAGCGGGGGGTAAGGATGCAATATTGAACCCTCGAAGCGGGAAGGATTGGCGGCACAGCGTCCTGAATAGCGTGGCCAGTTCTGAGGCAGGTTCGCGTCTTCGAGGATCAGCGCAAAACTGATCTCGATGCTAAGCACGACGACTTAAAGCCCCGGCCACCTGCAACCATACAATAAAATTATGTCGATGGTAAGCTCACATGCACCCAGTGCGCACATGGTTTAACTAAGAACATCGGCTACATTAGTCATCTTCGTGCGCATCAGCGCCGAGCTAACTAGGAGTCGAAGTAGTCGTCAGGACCGAAAACGGTCGGACCAATCATCATCATCATACTAATATTTTCAGCAGACAAGGTCTAGAACGGTCAACGAGCTGCACAGGTTCCTGGGCATGCTTAATTTTTCTCTGGCTCTCACCTAGTCACCTTCAACACGAAGGAGCTAGAGGCCTTCGAGGCATGTAAGAAGGGTCTATGTCAAGCTGTTATGTTGGCACACCCTGACAGCACTGCTCAATTGACCCTCTTAACAGATGGTTCCGACACCGCAATGGGTGCGGTGTTACAATAGCTTAGAGCAGGTAACTGGCAGCCCCCCCCCCCCCCCCCAACGTGCGTTCACCTTGTCGTGGTGGGGGGGGGCTCAGTAGTGCCCGGCAATACAGCTGGGCGCGAAGCCAAGAAACGCACAGGAGGTGGCCCACTTCGGTGGACGGTGGGAGGAAGCCCTCTTCGGAGGGCGGTGTACCATGCGGGTTGCTCCTGGTACTTCTCTGATAGCAGAGTGGACCATTGGAGCAACCCCGTGGTTGTTGTGGTCTGCTTCGGCAGACCTGCCGTCGGGGCGTCGTAGTTGAATGCGATCCTGCGACGCCCCATTAAGACGGGGGAAGGCTTTGTTGGGTTTTAGTGGGTAGTACTGGCTTTGCCGGTGAGTCCCACACTTCGTGCGTAAATGCATTTCCCAACGTTAGGTAACTGGCAGCCTTGCATTCTTTTCGAGGAAATTCAGCCTCTCGCAGACGAAGTACTCATCATACGATCGCAAGCTCGTAGACATTTACGAGTCAAACACTTTAGGCACATGATTGAGGCTCGCAACTTTGTGATCTATACCGATCACAAGCCACTTACGTTTGCCTTCACATCTAAGAAGGCGAATTTAGTCCACATTTTCTTATTCAGTGCCTGAGTCCACCGTGACGCTGCACGACGTAAATACAATTTTGCTAAATTTACCTCCATTCCTCCAAGTTACAAAAAAAAAACATTTTTACGACGAATTAGGAGAATGAAATAACGTTTTATCAAAAAATATTCTTAAATTATATTTAAATATTACAGTCTTGATGAGGTATACTCGACGTAGGCAGAGCGGCAATGATTTTGTAAGCAGCTAAATTACTTAGGCTTTGGCTATCAAATCGACAGCCAAGTTGTACTTTAAAGAAATACAAACCTGAGGGAGTTGGGTATAGACTATCTTCTGCGAGGCGAGATAGGAACCCATAGTGCAGAACTCGCGGGTGGCAGAACCCCAGAGGCTAAAGGCACGCGTTATATATTGATTGAACACCAGGAATCTGATAGCATCCTGGATATTGCACGTCGGAGAGAAACCAGGCGACGCCACCACCTTACACAACCCATACTTGCTTGCAAGTGGCATAATTTTCTCAAAATATGTTACAAAATATGTTTAAAAATTTTTGGTGTTGAGACATTGTAAGTGGTTTTTTATTAAGTGTCTATTGGCATTTCTAAAAAGGTTTTATTTTTTTTCCTACGTGTAATTTTGGATCTACTCTCAATTTTGTAAATTGGCTATAATCAGTACTTTATTGCGTGGTTTTGTAGTCTTAATTGTTTATTTCTAAAAGATAAATTGAATTCAATATCAAGTTTCCTTTACGAAGAAGTTGCCTAAAGGAGTCAAACGTGTTTTGTTACATTTGTGGTGAACACACATTTAAAAAGTTCAGAAAAACTACAACTGAGTTAATAAAAAAATGCTTATTTTTGATACTTTAAATCGGAAATTGTTGATGAAAACGAACCGAGGATAAAACTATTTGGCGTCAGGTTGAAGTTTCTCAAAACTTTCTTGAAAATCACAAGTAACTACTCTGAAATTGTAAACGACATGGCAGAGAACTTTAAAAACTTAGGATGTAATATGTCTATCAAAGTACTGTGCACTTGCACTATTCCACTGTCATCTTGACCAATTCCCAGAGAGTCTAGCATCTTATAGTAAAGAACAAGGGGAGCGGTTTCACAAGGACCTAAAAACTATGGAAAAGAAGTACAGAGGCCGATAAGACTACTGCTGGGAGATGCAACGAGATTGTCCGAGTACACCTCATTCACGAAACTCACGAAAAAGAAAGTTTTTGTGTATAATGCTGTAAAAATTCCGTTTTTCCTGCAAATTTGTTCTTATTCTGTTATAAGTAAAAGTCTAAAAAAGTACACGTAGCAAATCAATATTTTTGCTATGAATGTAGTCAGTATAATGTCCTAAGTTAAAATGTATCACAGCTTCTGGGCACCAAAACCAGTGTTGACCTGTGTAATCAATAATAACAAATAATAAAACTGGACTCTTGTAAAACGATAATATAACTGAAAATGTTCATCATCTAACTCGTTAAATAAAGTTCTAAACTCTCCACTTGTGTGCCGAAATTGAATGTGTTGATTGAAGATCTGGAATGTCTTTTTCTTAAATAATAAATAGTCAGTATTAATCTTCTTTTTCTATGTGTAACGTATTCATCATCGGAACTTTCTTCATCGATTATAATCATGGCGAGCGTCGTCCGTCTAATTGAACTTCGCAATACTGACTGAGCTTTGGCTTGGCTCTTGGTGTGCACGCCATTTATTTCTACCTTAGCTTAGCCTAGCTTGCTTAGTTTAGCTTTGGCATAGCTTAGTTTCGGTCTGCAGCCGGCTTTATTGTCCAGCCCGCAAAAGTGAAAGAGTTGCAGATATGCGGCAAAGCAAAAATAAAAACCGATTAAGAAAACATCAAAAGGTAAAAATTATTTTTTACTTTTTAATGTTTTTTTTTTGAAGTCTATTTTTTTAAGTTTTTATTCTTCCCTTTTTTGTGTTAACGTTGTAGTAGTAAAGTATAAAAAAGGTATTTTCATAAAATATTCGCTGAAGCCGTTTAAGTTAGTTTGATGTCAATTTTTATATATAGACCAACAAACAAAAATTTGGTTATATTAGTTATGTAGTAACGTCTTCTCTTACGTGCGTACAGAAAATGAATTCAGCAAAGACTCAAATCTCGTTGCGTCCGCGGGTAACACCGTTTAACTGAAAGGGATAAAACGAATATCACAACTATTTGATTGGTCGGCGACAGGTGCGACGGCCAAAAAAATTGCATTGTTGTTAATGTCCAGTATAAATAATTACTGTAAATTCCCAGCATTTTTTTATGCCCACAAAGTATTTGGCGTGATTGAAAAAAATTGAAGAAATTTGATGTCATATTGCACCAAAACTAAATAAAAGAAATGAATAGTAGCAGAAACAGCAAGTTTAGTGAACTTGGAAAAGATTGTCCATTAGTACACTGGAGGGATTCAGTTAAAAATGTAGTAAACCCAACAACATCTTGGTAGGAAGGAGTGCACGATATATGTCGATATTTCATAAAATATCGATATACAGTCGACTCTCGTTAATTCAAACCTGCGATAATTCGAACCTCTCTATAATTCAAAGTTATCACGAGTTCCCTACAAAATCTCTTGATATTTCGAACTAAATCAATACATTTTTATGCACTTGGTAATTCGAAAGAAGAAATCATTGCTACGTAACGAAACGACGCGTTAATTCGAACTCGTCGGCGTCAAACACTCGACAATTCAAAGTTGCAAAGAGAAAGAGATATGTAATGTGAAAGCACAATGTTTTGAGGTAATATTCCTCACGTCCCATTAACATGTGTCGCGTAAGATGCTTCAGGTAGCGTACCTAAGTTTAAACGTTAGCTTTACTGAATTATCTCTAACACATTGTAGGTATAATTTTTTTTTAATACTTAATTTTTCTATATGCTTAGATATATAAAAGTACATAAAAAAGGTAACGAAAACAACCCGGAAAAATAGAAAATAGGATACTTATGATTGGTGATTTATACATAGCAGATACGCCTTTAAGCGACAGTCTACACTTGAAAAATATGTTTATTGGTAGTAGGATTATTCTCCTACTAAATCCTTCCTAGTTTTATTTATATTATATAATGGCGACTTATCCTTAATATCATTTTCAGAATTTTTAGCTTGTAATAACTTGAGTTCAATAATTTTATCGGTTACGGGAAATTTAATAAAGTGACGTTGGATAGTGAGCTTTTTGCGCAAGAAAGTTTGTAGTATTAACATTGTGTGATGCCACAAAATTGTGTTAACTAAGGGAAAAGTAGTCAAGCGGTAAATTTATTTACAGTAGTTAATGTTGCCAAGCTTTGCAAGTAGCAAGGCGCCTGGGCGGTCGCGGGGAAGACAATGTGCGCGCTTAGTCGTGCATATTTTAAAAGCAATATTTCGCAGCCTTCATTGAGAAACACGCGCCCTCATTCGTGATGTCAGTTGCCTGTCATTGAGCAACCAACACCTGATTTCCACACAAGAAATCAGATCATATTATTTTTACAGTATCAAAGATATAAGATGCACCCCGTCACAGCACCAAGTTACGTAAAGCTCTTCGCGCTGAGTGGGCGATTCACCTATGCAAACATTCGATGAAAGTTACTGAGGGTCAGCTGCGGAGAGCTGCGAGTGCGTGTTTCGTGCTAAGGCAAGTGCGGAGCACACGGCCCGGTCACTCGGGCCGATGGCTGCAACAGAAACCTCACGTCAGCACACGCGCCTTTCCCAAACGACACACAGTTGCGACAGTGAAGCTCAACGAGGAAGCCGCATCGCACATTTAAATGCAACGTTAATGTCAGAGAGCGTTTAAATGCCAATAGCGGCGACCTTTCGGTTTTGAACTAGGTTGTGCAAGCGAGGATCGCTGGTCGTATGAGAAAGGCGAGTGCGTGAGGGGAGAACAGAGCGGAGGGAGTTGGGACGCACCGGAGGCGTGCGGGGACGTAACACCGCTGGAGTCGGGAGTTTGCATAAGAAATTGCTCCAGTTTATCGATGGTGTTGTTCATCATTGCGGGGCTCAACGTAAACAGATGTAAGATAGACGTTGTTGCCAGTGCGGTCTCTTATGCGGACTATGCAGATGTTGGAATTTGAATGTTCAGAGACCCCAAGAGTTGATGCGAGATTTTCGCGAACAAGGATAGCGGCCTTGACAGCGTGACCAGTGTGAAACTAATACGTCGTGAAGCCGGGTATGGGGTTTAAGGCGTGTCCAAACATAGCGCGGCAATCGTGAGCGGCATGCCGCGCGCGATTTCCGCGCTGTGTTTGGACGGCCGCCGCGCACGAATGCCGCGTGTTGCTGCCGCGCGCGAACGAGGTTGCCGCGCGCGTAGTGTTCGTTCGTCAGTGAAGGTGTGTGGACGTAAACGATGGATAACGAAACGGCAATTCGACTTATTGAAATATATGGTTCATTTAATGCATTATGGGACACCAGGCGCAAAGAATATCATAACAATAATTTAAGAGAAGACATGTGGGATGAAATCGCAAAAAATTTCGAGCAACCGAAAGCAGTTCTAAAAACCAAAATGAAAAGTCTTTTAAGCTCATACAGAAGGGAGAGAAACAGAGAAAAAACGAGTAACATTACTGGTTCGGGTAAGTTTAATCTTTTATTTAATGATATTGATGAAATGACAATAAGTACTCCTACAGCAAACAATAACAAAATGAAGTACTTGTAACAAAAGATTCTATTCTACTTACATATAGGTATCTAAGTTAAATGTATACTGTGGTATATGTAGTTCTTGGAATTTACGTAACCGAGTGAGCTTTATTTGTGGTTACGTCGTGTACATGTATAATTGTGTAAGTGTGCGTGCCTGTCGGAGCCTAGGTGAGAGCGGTCAGGCGCATGCATTGCGCTCGCTCACATAATGATAGTAGTAATATGGTTCGTACGCAGTTCGCACGTTTGTAATGCTCAACTAAGTATAGTACGTTTTTTCATGCACGACCCAAAATATAAATAAATATGGCAAACCGATTGAGTTTGACATTTCTTAGAGCGCAAAATCATTGAATGAATGTTTTTAATAAATCAATGAATTAGTGCAATTACGTAGATTGAATAATTTTCGAAATACGTATAATCATCATCGAAATATTTTGGTTAAAATATGTGACCGTTGTAAAATATGTTTAACGGTCTGATCAGCTGGTAAACTAGACTGATGGTCGTGAGTTTATACACACATGTTTAGGAAAGTATTTCTCACAAGCAGATGGATATAACAGAATTGACACTTTTATTGTTACAGATAGAAACAAGGCCTACAAGTCTAAATGGTTTGCCTACGAATCTTTCCACTTTTTGCATGATAGGGGTAATCCTATTGACACAGTGGTAAGTACGCTAATTTCATACATACATTCATGTATAACCATACTAATATTATAAATGCGAAAGTGTGTTTGTTGGTTTGTCCTTCAATCACGCCGCAACAGAGTTACGGATCGACGTGATTTTTTGCATAGGTATAGCTGAGGACCTGGAGAGTGACATAGGCTACTTTTTATCCCGGAAAATCAAAGAGTTCCCGAGGGATTTTAAAAAATAAATTCACGCGGACGAAGTCGCGGGCGTCATCTAGTTTCTCATAACGTAATTATTTAATATCTATCTTGCCAAATAATCGACCCGTTTGCCATAAAATGTTCTGCCAAAAAATTACGAATATCGGTTGGAGTGCCACCTATACATTCGTTCGGTGTTAAAGTAACTGATTCATTCATTGAGTTATTAGAGGTTGTTATTGAAGAGCTGTTTCGAAGAAAATTATGCAAGTGAACAGCAGCTAGAACTACCTTTTTAGCTGATGTTGGGTTTAACATAATTGCATTTCTCAGTACTCTAAATTTAGACGCCAAAATACCAAAAGCATTTTCAACTACTCTACGTGCTCTCGATAGTCTGTAGTTAAAAATCCGTTCTTTAGACCCTTTTGAATGAATTCCTGCAAAAGGTGTCAACATATATTTAGTTAAAGCAAAAGCTTGATCTCCTAATATGACATAGGGTACTTTTGTTGTGTAGGGTATATTTAAAATTTCTGGTGCTGGTACATTAAGTTGATTATTTTCTAACTTTCGGTACAATTCACAATGTTTAAAAACGCCTCCATCTGATATTCGACCTTGACTTCCAACGTTAACGTACATAAAATTGTAATTTGAGTCTACTAATGCTAAAAGTACAATACTAAAATATTTTTTATAATTGTAATACTCGGTGCCGCTTCTAAAAGGAGCCTGAATAGTTATATGTTTTCCGTCCAAAGCACCGATGACATGTGGGAAATTCCATTTTTCCTCGAATTCTTTAGAGACTATCTTCCAATCTTGTTCCGATACTGGTAACTGAAAAATATAAAGTTCACATTAAAAAAATGCGAAATTTATCTTAACACGGGTGGGGGTGGGTAACCTCAAAGAATCGCGTGGAAATCTAACTACGACATTCTACGACAGATATAAATGAAAACAGTCGGACATCATACGAAAGCATTTTAGTCCTAGCTGAAACGGAGACACTTCTTAAATCCCAAAGACTATACCTATATTCTACAAACACAACTAAAAATCGTTGTTTTGATTACAGGATTGTGGCTCATCGTCGCAGTCACATAATACAGAACAAGGAGCTACAGAACAAGGCGCTACAGAACAAGGCGCTACAGAACAAAGCGCTACAGAACAAGGCACTTCAGAACAAGGCGCTACAGAACAAAGCGCTACAGAACAAGGCACTTCAGAACTAAATATGACTAACATGAATACTGCATCTACGATTCCAACTAAAAGGAAGCCAACAAAGAGAACACACGAAGATCCGGAGTATGATGCCGAGAATAAAATGTTAGAAGATGCATTGGAAGAAATGCGAAAACAAAGCGATAACAGCAACGATTTATACGTTGCTTTTGGCATGCACGTAGCGGCAGAGTTGAGAAAATACGATCCCATAACCTTAGCAAGAGTAAAACATTCCATAAATACTATAATATTTGACGCTGATATGGCATGTATAAACCAACTCAATCAGTCTACAATTCAAGAAAACGATGAAAGAAGACCAGGTTATTTTACTACACGTTATACCGATATCTCCAATACGGCATCCTCTAGTGACTCTAGTATGGGATCCGGACTTACACAATTGATTAACGATTTGAATACTGAGAATAGTTTATAATTAAATAGTGATTGTTTCATTTTTATTGTCTGCACATTAAACATGCACATATTTATGATTGATTAAAAACTTAATAAAAATAATGTAAGTAATAAAGTTGTTCTTTTTTACCTTTATCACATCCTTCAGAGCTTTCACTAGGGCATCGCACACCTCTGGGACTATTTTTGAGATTGTTTGCTTTGACACGTGAAATATATATTGTAGACTAGTATATGAGTCTCCTGTGGCCAAATATCGCAAAGTTATTGCGAGTCTCTCTTTCGTCGTTATTGCTACACGCCAGTGTGTATCAGTTTTTTTAATAAATGGTTCCACCAGTGTATGTATATGTTCAAATTCTTCCAAGGTCAATCTTAAAAACTGTGTTGTTCGATAGTGGATTTCATAATTAATCACTTTCAAATTCTTTACCCTCTGTTGGAAAAGTGGTCGTATCCAGCATTGCCTTGTTTTTTTCAGTCTCTTCCTTCTGCGTAATTTTCGAATAATAAGTAGAGCTACAACACACGCGGCCGCTTTCATTTTGGATCGAATGCAAACTGAGAGCACAGCGTGTCTAGGACATGCCGCGCAGTATTGCCGCGCACACATTTCTGGGATGTCTACACTAGTCGCGCATCAGAGCTGTGTCTCGCGATTGCCGCGTGTTGCTGCCGCGCACTCGCAGCGCTATGTTTGGACACGCCTTTAGACGTTCGGTGTTAGACGTATAGGGTTCCATAACGAATGCCACGTGGCATTCGGAGTTGCTGAGATGAACGGAAAGTTCGTGAGTTGCGTTGCGGCTGCGTGCAAGATTGATCTGTGTGCATACAAGTTTGACAGAGGATGGATGAAAGTGAGAATTATTAGACCTAATAACCATAGTTAGTACGGGAACGAATTGTTTGGAGCATGAAGGAGATTCGAGGACATCCTTGGGAAGTGGCACTTTGATCAGTCTTGCATTTGGTGTTATTATTCTTGGAGTGTTCGACGCAATTGTAACATTGTCCCTTGTCAGTATTGTCCTTTTCCGGACAACTGCGGAATTCGTGTCCAGGGACAGAGCAGTGAGAGCATACTGCAACTTGACGGTCGCACCTTGCTTTGGTGTGCCCGAATTGGAGGCACTTGTAGCATTGGAGTAAAGGCACATAGTCCTCCGCATGTACTCGATGGTGGTCAAGGTTGAGTTTGACCCGCGAAGTGATAGCCTTCCAGACGGGGGGTGAGGTCATAAAGACCGCATTGTATAAACGCTTGTTGCGGTTTGCCCTCTTAAAGCGGAAAATAAGGTCGCCATCCGACACAATGGCACTCTTGACTTCCGGGTTTTGGTTCCTTAGGATACCGACGAGTTCATCCGGTGGAATGTCTTGGGGTACCCCATTGAGCACTACCATAGGACTGAGCATCTTGGATGCCTCAGCCGCTACAGAGCACTCTGGGCGTTTAAGTTTTTCTAGGGTCTCGTCTCGGTGCACTTCACTATCAAATTCGACTCGGATTTTGTTTTTAGAAATATATTTGACGTTAGCCGGGGCAAAAGTCGTGTCTCGGAAGGAGCCCGAGGCCTTAAAGTTTTTGT